GGGGGGGCATTGAGCATTACTCAAATATATTTGTTTGAAATAGTTGACTATTACATACCGTTAGGGCACTTAGTTTTAAGTTGTATACTCCCCATACCCACACCTAAATCACACGACCATGTCTAATTATTAACATTATTACAGACTAGGTGTTTTGTTGGGGGGGGGGGAGAATAATAATAAAATGGCATTAAATAAATGTCAATAAAAGGCAACTATTACTATTGTAAGGCAACTACTATTACAGTAAGGTCATTAAAAAAACACACCTGACTCGATAATTATTATTTATACATTTAATTGGTCTTGGAAAACATGACAATAAAAAAATGGAATATTAGTTGATATTAAACAAATCATGTAGCTGAAATAAAGAAAAATTATCTTAACAACACAATTTAAGCTTACAGCATTAATGATTCTAATAGAAGCCCAACATTGACTCATCTGCATGTTGTTTTTCTTGAGTGATTTGCAAGCCTGGTGATCAATGATGAAAGTCAAACATTCATTTCATATTTCAATGGTCAGTTCAAAGGGCATCCCTCTTTTCATTCAGTCAAATATTGTTAAAATTTAATCCATATATTTAATGTTTAATTTTAATGTGTGTACATGAATATAACTAAAGAACATGTTCTTGTAAGACTAATGAAGAAAAGAACATTTGTTTAATAATTCAGATTGTGCCAAATTAGTATGACATTAGGATTTCAATTTCTGGTTGTTCCAATAGGAAATGATATTATATTAGTCAAGAAAGGGATTAGAGAATTTGACAAGACTTATTTCTAGACACTTCTTGTTGTGAAACACTTTCAAATCACCTGTTTCAAATAAAGAGCTTTTTAAAAAAATCTGGAAATTTCCTTGTGCTTATACAGAATCTACACATGCCAGTTAGATCATCATGTAATGGAACAGATATTTTAATATGTTTTTAATATGGAAAATCTTGTTTGACCAATCTGTCTACAGGTCACTGGCCTTGAAAAATTAATTGTCTTCAAATAAAAACTATCAACATATTTTAGATAATGTTTGAAGACAGATCATGGATTAGTATGATCTAAAACATAATTTAAAAAATAGATTTTCAATATTTTTGAAATTCCATAAGGAGAAATGTAATTATAATGCAAGATTGTTACTACATAAAAGTAAGACCATACATTTGGCATAGAGCTGTAGAGTCAGTGTTGTTTGTTTCTCAAACTGTCAAATAAACAAAATTTATTAAATGACATCATTCCTTTTTGAATTTTTTCAAATTTTTATTTGCAATGAAATATTTAGTGATTAATTTTGATTTCCCAGCTGGCAACAGCAATATTTCACCACTTAACTTAAGCTGTTTCGTGTTGGCTTACTTTATGGTGACATACTGCCAACATTTATCCACAAGACTAGCCACAAGACTAGATGTTTGCCCTATGATAACTTATCAAAATATTTAAAAAATTCAACTAAATACAATAAGGAGGAAAAGAAAACAGCAACCAAATAACACTTCCAGTTTCTGGAAAATCAAACTGTAAAAAACTATACAAATTGTTGCAGTATCAAAGAACTGATTTGATGATTTGAAGATTTAGTTTGAATGAAAGTTGACAACAGGAAAGTATTCCTCACCATTTTCCTGACTAAATAGGTCTTTAAAGTTTAATATTAATTATAAAATATCTTTGCATCATTAAACATGTGCAAAAATACTTACTAAAAAAAACAAACAATTATTTAGTTTTTTGTATTATGATGGTCAAGATAATAAATTAAATGCAAATATACAAGCAGATGATGTGAACTATGACAAGGTGACTAAGATGAAATAAATGTTCCTGATTTTCAATCTTATTATTGCTGTTATCAATACAAA